ACCCCCACCCCCCGCAGCTGCTCCCGCCTGCCTCCCGCCGGCTGCCACGAAAACCCGGAATAGCTGCGTGAGCTCACGGAAAGTCCTCCGAGGGGCGACGCCGGGCAGCTGGGCATGCTCAGTAGCTGGGGGAGGCTTGGGTGGAGAGTAGAAAGCTTTGGATCTGCTCCCCCCACCTCCCAACGGCCTCCCGCACCCCTTGCCCCCAGCCCGTAGTAGTTGCCCAGCGTGCGCCCGTGGACACCGGGAACATGGCGCTCCCAGCCCTGTAGCAGCCCCGGCGGAGAAGGGGATGAGGCACCGCCGCTTCGCTGACAGCCAGCCGCCAGGTAGGCAGGCGCGCCCGAAGGGGCTGCCTGGGTGGATCTGGGCGCGGGGAGGGGCGCTTGCGGGGATGTGCACGGCTGGGACCCGGGGCATCTGGCTTTGCCGCGAGAGGATGCGAAGCGGACATCTGTGACAGCGCGCGATTGTGCATCTCCTAGGAGATGTCAAGGGCTGGGGATCCGCTGGCGATCGGGGACCGCCCCCCGCCCCTCTCACACACACCCATGCGCTACCATCCAGACTGGGCTCTCCACGGGTCGAATAAAGGATAGTTCATTTTTGCTGGGTGGGAGGGCGTGGAGGGGAACCCCGGATCCAGGCTTGGGAGTGCGCTGGTCCCCGGACCACTGGCAAGCCCAGTAGCAGTTCTTTGTGTATACAGCCGTGCATGCCCGCCCAGGGGTGCCACGGTGCCTGCATCTCCCAAGGAGTGTTGGACATATTGCCAGGGCAGGATTCCCTTATGGCTTTTGTCTCTTGGCAGGTGTGGACTGCAAGATGCAATAGCTGAGCCTTTATGGGGCTGTGTTTTTCTTTGTTACTCGCGTTGGAGTGTGTGTGTGCGTGGTGGGTTGTAATGGAGAGAGAGAACTTCTGCTCATGGCACGCGTGTGGGCAGAGCATGGAAGAGGACCTCGGTGCCAAACTCTTGTCAAAATTGAGTGCTCTGTGGGCCTCCTGGAGGGTAAACTTGAAAAGTCCAGAGAGGAGTGCCCAGTTTGGAGAAGCGTGTTAGCCCTTCTTGAACCCATGCGTGTATATCTGAAGCTTTAAACCTGGGGCACAAGTGAACTCAACATTAGATATCAATTAAAGGAATTTGAAGGACTGGGGCTATCAGTGGTGGGCACTTTTAGGCCAAATTAATAAAGAAAAAGAGAAGTTGACACAACGCCAGAGGAAAGTGTCATAGTTAATAGTTGCTGATAGCTTAGAAGGCTGAATGCACTTAGGGGGCAATCAGGAAACCTGACATTCCACGGGGTCTTAGGTAACTCACAGAACCTCTCAGCGCATCCTTTTCTCTTCTGGGGTCTGGTGACATGTAGACACTCTCACCTGAGTCCAGAGGGCTAGATGCTCTTCACAAGCCCCTACCACACTAGAGCCTATGAAACTGACACCCCATAATAACAGCCCTGTCACCTTATAATGGTATATCTGGTATATTCAGCAGTATAACCCAGAGACGGAAATCAATTTAGATTTAGAATATACTTTCTTTTTTTTTTTTGCTTTATAATTTAAAGGATGGCCATCTTTGACTACAAAGTTGAGAGACACTTCTCACCATACCTACAGTATTTATTTTATGGTCTCCTTAGGTAGCAAAAATGAGTCAGTATCATCAAAATGAAATGGGGAATGCTTAAGGAAAAATGCCTTTAAGGAGATTAAATTTATAAATGTCCAATCTGATGATACCTTGACTTGGAATACATATGTGCAAAGCAGATGGAAACAGTACAAGTTGATGACAAGTTCATGGATGGTATTGGTCTTAGAATAAAATGTTTCTGTTCCTGTGTGAATGGGTAGAGAATGATTGTACTAGGTCCCTGCAGTTTTTCATTTTGTAAATAAAAGTGAGTTTTAATTGCAGTCATTGAAAACACAGTTTGGCACTGCCTCTCCTTCACCGTGTCAGAGTTTGCTGAACTACTGCAGGTGTGAGAGGCAGGTGTGCTAGGGTGTGGTTTCATCTTGCTGATGAGGCAGAGCTGAGTTTGAGCTCTGACTCTCTCGTATTTAGATTTGTGATCTGGGGCAAGCTATTTAACTTTCCCCAGCCTCAGGTTCCTCATCTGTAAAAGAAGCGTAGGGAAACTTTAGGTAAGTAAGACTTATCTAAATGTATGTGCGTGTGGTGTGTGTGTTACTCATGATATGAACCACCAAGAAAACAGTGGTGACCATTATAAGAGGAAGGGAAATGGATGTTATTTAACCTATACTAGGTACCTTGTATCATGCTAGTCTGGTTCAAATATGCAATCTCATTTAATCTTCCCAATTATATTAGTTTCCTAGGGCTTCCATAACAAATTACCAAAAACGAAGTGGCTTAAAACAAAAACGTATTCTCTCACTGTTCTGGAGGCTAGAAGTCCATAATTCACTGGTTCTCAAACTTCCTAATACCGCGACCCTTTAATACAGTCCCTCATGTTGTGGTGACCCCCAACCATAAAATTATTTTCGTTGCTACTTCATAACTGTAATTGTGCTACTGTTATGAATCGTAATGTAAATATCTGATATGCAGGATGTATTTTCATTGTTACAAATTGAACATAATTAAAGCATAGTGATTAATCACAAAAACAATATGTAATTATATATGTGTTTTCCGATGGTCTTAGGCGACCCCTGTGAAAGGTTCGTTTGACCCCCAAAGGGGTCGTGACCCACAGGTTGAGAACCGCTGCGGTAATTCAAGGTGCAGCCAAGGCTGTGTGCCCTCTGAAGCCCCTATGGGAGGGGCTTTCTTGCCTCTTCTAACTTCCGATAGCCCCAGGTGTTCCCTGACTTGCACCCAAATAACTCCAATCTGTGTCTTTATCTTCACATGGCAGAGTTCCCCCTTTTTATAAAGATACCATTCATATTGGACTAAGGGTCCACCCTAATTCAGTATGACTTCATCTTAACTTGATCACATCTGCAAAGATCTTGTTTTCAAATAAGATCACATTTATAGGTTCTGGTTGGACGTGAATTTTGGGGGGACACTATTCAGCCCAGTATGCCAACATCCCTAAGATCTGTGTTGGATGACTACTTTAATATTAGTCAGCATACAAGCAGAAGGTAAAGTCAGAGTGGTATGGGCTCAGGAATGACTTTAAAAGTTATTTAAAGTTTAATTTATTTGAGGTTTCATTTACCCAAACATGGTAGGGAAGAGCAGCATTTAAACGTACCTCACTTATACAAATGTCATTTTCCTGGAAACCCAGACAATCCAGGATCTGAGTTTTAAAAGATACCTAAAACACCCTGCCTTCCTCTCTTTTTGCTACCCCACCAACACAATGCAAACAAACAAACAAACAAACAAACCAGAAATCTAAATTAAACAGCAAAAATAACAACAGAAACAAAATTACCCCAATTTTTAAAAAAATATATTTTATTGATTTTTTTACAGAGAGGAGGGGAGAGGAGTAGAGAGAAACATGGATGAGAGGGAAACATCCATCAGTTGCCTCCTGCACACTCCCTACTGGGGGTGTGCCCGCAACCAAGGTACATGTTCTTGACTGGAATCGAACCTGGGACTCTTCAGTCTGAAGGCTGACACTCTATCCACTGAGCCAAACAGGTTAGGGCCAAAAATACCCCAATTCTAATCTTTCTTATCCTGGTAAATGGCACCTCTGTTCATGAAGATGCTTTGGCCAGAAACTCAAGAATCATCTTTGATACCTCCATTCCCTTTGTCTTCCACACCCAAAACCATCACACAGTCTGAAACGTTCTGTCTTTCTATTCATATCTCTAAATATATCTTGATAGATTCTTCTTTCCATCCCTACCACCACCACCATCAAACTTCAAGTCCTCATCTCTCTTCTGGATTATTTGTATAATTTTCTAACAAGACCCCTGGTTCCTTGCTTGGCCCCTCCGATACTTTATCCATTAACAGAGAGGATCATGTCAGTCCCCTACACAAAATACATCCACTTTCCTGGGACAAATTCCAGAGACCCTCAGAGTCTTGGGTACTTGGCCTGCTTGGGTATCTCTTCCTCTGGCTGCTGCCTTCCTGTTCTGCTCTGTTTCTTGGATATCCCAGGCATTTGCCCCCTATACTTTGCAATTCAAGCTGTACTCATCCCTTGGGCCTCTTTGATCTCCCTTCCCCATAACCCAAATCTCTCATCGCCCTGCTGCTTTTCTCCCATAGCACTTATTTTTCTATTTATTTGTTTGGCTATTTAATGTCTGTAAGCTCTGTGATGGCAGTTTATTTTGTATCTTACATGTAGAAGATGTTTAATAAATGTTTGGTGCATGAGTGAAGGAATGAATACTCTTCCTCATAGCCATTTTTTTCTGGGCCATTTTAAAGATTTGATATTTTAGAAAATTTTAAATTTACTATGTTGTATAAAAAGAGCAATTAAGAACCTCATTATGACTTCAAAAGAGGAGTATTCTTGGCTTTAACAAAAGCATCTACTAAGAATTGGTTTTAAGTGAGCAGTTAATAATTGAGTCCAAATATTTTCTGGCAATTGAGGATTTTGTAAAAATATATCAGTCAATCAACAAATATTACAGAAATATTTTGTTGGACATTTGTATTTGCCATGGTAGGAAGACAGTGGTGAACTAGACTCTTAGCCTTTTAAAGATTAATAAGTAACAATAATTAATAATCAATAACATTACTTATTAAACTTCTGTTATATCCCAGGTTCTCATCAGTCCCTATTCCTACTTATTGCTATAGATAGCCCTCCAATATTTCTCAACACAGAATCTAATAAGATGCACAACAAATATTTGATGAATTGATAATTAGTAGATACTATTATCCTGATATTTTAAAATAGAAAACATGTTTAACTGGGGAAAAGAGAATCTGCTCATATATATAAGGCCATGCAATTGCTTTCTGAATACATCTAAGTGGGCCCTGTTCTGTTTTAAAAGTCATCCTGCCTATTGTCTCTGGGCTTAAAATAAGAGACAGATTGCTCCTTGTATGAGAACATGTTCCTGGTGTCAAAATTCTTAGTAACCAGCTGAATTGTTTGACTTGTCCTGTTTAATCCAAGTGAGAAGTGACAATGTTTCTCATTCAGAGCTCTTTTTGGCAGTTTTGAATAGCAAGACTGAGTGCCTGAGGGCAGTGAATGTGGTTCAACACAGGAACACAGGTTACATTTGGGATTTCTAGGGTGTCCTCAATTTCATGTCATTTTATTTTTTGCATAAGAGGTGATTTTTAAAAACAAAAAAATTGCTAATGCATACAGTTAAGTATAAC